AATATTCTGTTGCTCATTTATAATTATGTATAGTTTATTGTATTTATAGATTCATTTCCTTGCCCTATTAAATTTGCTTATTTCTATCCTCTTGTGTATTTTGTATTTTTATGAGCCACCCCAGATCTTCTCTGGAGCAAGAAGAACTATAAATAGATTAGTGTAGTACTTGATAGTTCACAAAATATTTGTACATCACTAGTCTTGTGAGGGGACAATTATTCCCTTTGATAGATGGGAACACTGAGGCTTAGACAAGAAAATTGACTTGCCCAAGGACACACTGACAGTGAATGGCACAGGTACATATTAAACTGTCCCTCTCTACATCTGTTTCCAGTGCTCTTGCACCATAATGCTGCTTCTCTGTACCAGAGCGCCAGATAGGGAGGCAGAAGGACAGTGATTGTCTCTGTTAAGGGACCAACATAGAACCTATATAAAATGTGTACAAGTTTTCATTTAAATTATCTATGTTTTAAAGAAAAATGAAAATTATAAGTATTCTGAACTACTAATGCCTATTTCCATGATTCTGGGCAATACAACTTATCACGGAGCATCAAAAAAAATTTAAATGATTAAAACAAATCTCTACTCACCTGCTAAAGGTGAAAAGGTACTATATAGATTGTTTTTAGAAAATGAACAGTGCCTGGTGGTTTAATCTTGGCAAAATATGAAAAATATAAATTGATTAAACTTATTTTAATGGGTATTTACCTGCAATTTGTCTCAAATCCAGGTGTAATCTAGATTCATTATCTTGCCTCTTCTGTCTGGGAACTGTGAGTGCTGAGCACAGGTTTGGCAGGCTGGGAAGAAAAGAATTAGGGAGGGAACTATTGAGCCAGGAAATCCAATTCTGTGTGTCTATAGGATCAGTTTTGTTGCTGACTCAGAAGAAACAAAATGTACGATGGCTAAGCTCAGCAGAGACAGAGAGATAGACAGGCAGGAATTTCAAAGTCCCATTCTCCTTGGTACCCTTTGGAGCCTCAGATCAAATCACTTTTGCTGCTCTTCCTTTGTAATGACTATGGACCTTCTAATGGCCCGTGAGTGGCTTTTGACAGGATCCCCCACTGCAACCTGCCAGAGTATTTGGTACCCATGCTGTTTCCCACCTTGCAGTTTTGAGAGAAAGGAATCTACTGATCCTGTGGGATCACTGTATATGAATCATCCAGGCCTGCAAGGAATCTTGGGAGTGACCCTGCCTTACCCAGAACCCTTTGCCCACGGAGAAATTATTTTTGACAAGATACTGATGGAAAAAGTAGAAAGGCAGACAGGCAGCTATCCATCTCTCCTGCATCATCAATAGAGTCCTTTCTTCCCAGAATCTGAGAAAAGGAAAATCAAGTGGAAAAAAAAAAATTCAGCTCAGCATGCGATTTATTTTTGCATGGGCCCTTGCCTGAGGACCCCAGGTATAAAATGAGAATGATGAACATCTTGATTTGGTTTATAAGGATGAGAATAATATCATGCATGCATCCTAGTCATTTTTACTATACTCCAATTTTTATTTAAACCATTATTCATTATAACCTCAACATCCAAAAGTTTATATACCCTGCAGCCTTGCAGTTGTCTCAGGAGGCCACCATGCTGTACAGAGTATCTTGCTGCATGTTTTTTAGAAGACAGTTCTGTGGTACAGCAGCATCTGAACATTTACATGTCAAGTGTGTGTGTAAAGGCTTTGGAAGCCTCAAAGGAAAAATCCTTGACACACCTGGCAAGCCTGGAACCTGATCCTTCATTCTTCCTCCCTGCTTCACATCGCACTGACACGGTACACAGGGGAGGCCCAGAAACAAGGAAAACAAGACCCACTGCTTCAGAATTTAGACTGCAGGGTGACCACACTGAAGTAAGAGTCAACAAAAGCAAGCAAAATCACACGTAGATGCACATATTTCCAAGAGCTATTCTTGGGTTTTTCTACAGACATGAGCATATAACCAGATTTATGATGTAGTGTTCGCTTAGGAGCAGCTAATCATACCCACCCCCCAAAATCTTAGGCTCAGAAGTTGCACACGAATTCTATGTGACTTTTCTTCAAAGCCATTCAACCTGAAAGATTTCCAAGTGTGTCACATGTCACATTTAGCTACTTTTGCTATGAAGGGCTTTTCAGCCAACTGGCTCAAATTTGTTGCCCGGAAAAGCAGAGGAAGAGAAATGTTTAGCCAGTCAACTAGCAAATAGATGAGCTCCTGAAATAAATTTTATTTTGCTAGTCCTCAATAAACTGTACAAGGTTCTCCACTTAGATTATCAGAGCAGGATGACACTCCAATCAAATGCATCCTGTAATCTTACAGTTATATTAGCACTACTGTTAGGCAAATCCCCATTCAACATGTCAGAATCCAGTTGATCACTAGACTGAGCTGAGATTTCGTCTCCTGAAGACTTTTATTGCTCCCCTTTCCCCACCATGATTTCTCCTTGTCTCAACTCTTCTTATCTATAACTTGGAGTGTTCACTAATGAGGGGTACCTGTGTGCTTCTTTTATTTGTATTGCTGGATTGTAATGAAAGGAGGCACATAGAAGATGCTCTATTCACGTGTCCTTTTAGAATGCCCTGCAGATTCTAAATATTTGTCAACTCCACTTGATTTTCTAAAATGCTTAATCACCATCTGACATCATCTATGAGGTTCCAAGCATAAGTCAACACAGGCACAAGAATGTGTGCGTATATCCATGTCTTTATGGTAATTTTTTAAGTTACCGATAACCTTCAAATCATGTATGTGTCTTAGTCATTTTTGCTGTATTCATTAGCAGTGACTGCAAGGTCTTAAGGAAACATTAGAACTCAGACATGTAATTAAAGATCTCTTTCCCTCCTTCTTTCTCACATGGACATTGATAGAACTACTAATACAAAGATATATGTAACCTCAGGTTTTAGAGTTACAGTTCCTTTTAGATTCCTGACACATTCATGTTTTTATTTCTGCCTGAAATCTTTTCTGGAACAAAATAGAGCATAAAGAAATGAAAAAAATTATCTACAACAAAGAAACAAGCATGTCTTATTTGAAATATGTTTGCGACGCACAAAAAAAAAAGACATTAATTACTTAATAAGCAATGGGCTGAGTGCTAAGGACACAAATGACTAGTCGTTGTTTGTGAATGTTAACTATATGAATGTGGCAGCTTTTCTTGACCTGCCTGACCTTTCTGACATCTCTGTTGGCTGTGCATCTGTATAATAGTGTCTTTCATCCTGAATATATTTGTATTAAAAGGTAAGCCTAGTCAACGTGAAATCAAGGAAGAAATTTTCATAAGATATTTTAAATGTTTTAAAATATTTTGATCATTTGCACACAGCTTGTGTTTATATGACAACAAACAAGCCTTTCAACAGAAAATAAACTAGCTGAGACATATGCTTGCAGATTGCAATATTTAGACACAAAAGATGGTTCTACCCTTTTCATCTTCCCCTCATCCCCCCCCCCCCATATTGAAGGGAGTCTTCCAAATGAAGGGCTTCAGCTAAGTCAGTTCACCTCTAGAAGGGTCTGCTTGGTCATCAGTGGCGAGCCCCATCCTACCTTACCTTGGTCTCCCACACCCCTTTTGTGCCCCACACAATAGATACAGTCATCTTTTGTAACTGTAGGGGATTGATTCCAGGACTCCTGTGGATACCAAAATCTGGTGATGCTTAAGTCCCTTCTACAAAGTGGTACAGTATTTGCATACAATCTGCACCCATCTTCCTGTATACTTTAAGTCACCTCTAGATTACCTATAATACCTAATGCAATGTAAATAGGTGTTATACTATATCAGTTACAGAATAATGACAGAAAAATGTCTGTTCATGTTCAGACCCACAATTTCAAAATATTTTCAAGCTGTAGTTTGTTGAATCCATGATTGTGGAATCCACTGTTTCTTCCTTTAAATTTGGATTTTTATTAAACAAATTACAGATTAGGAATGATGATAGGTAAAAGAATTTGATATTCTTTTCAAAACATAAAATATGAATATTTTTCCCTAGTTTCAGGAATTTCTATCATAAAGGTCAGTTAGAGGCCTTGCTTAAATCAACCTGTATCGACAGAAAAACAATTGGGATGGGGAGATAATTCAAAACAAAATTACACTTTTGAAAATATGGCCCAACACTGTACATTAAAAAAACTTACGAAAGCCTGTAATAGATGTTATAGTTGACCTACCTGAGCATATAAAAATTATTGGTCCTCTGATTGGTATCATTTTTTTCCTTATGTCAACCCTTGTATGAAAATTTCAAGTTCCTAGAAAAAGTATTAGCCCTGAAATAGAATTATCAGGTCAACTTATAGACAAAGAAAAACAAACATTGTGGAAACTCATAATTCTTGAGAAGTTATATTTTATTTAAAAAGCATTTTAGAGTCAGGTATGGTGGCACATATCTAATCCCAGTGATTCAGGAGGCTGAGGCAGGAGCATCACAAGTTTGAGGCCAGTCTCAGCAACTTAGCAAGACCTTCTTTCAAAATGAAAATTTTAAAGGACTGGGGATGTAACTCAGTGGTAAAGAGCCCCTGGGTTCAATCCCCAGTACCACCCTTCACCAAAAAAAAAAAAAGGCAATTTAGAGTCTGATAAAAACAAGGCCTAAAGGGGAAGGGGGGAGGCCTGCTATTATTTAGGTGATATTTTTCAATGTGTGCATTTATGTAAAGAAAAATCTTAATGCATTTAGATTTGGAATCTGAAAATGTTTCACTAGGATTTTGGTCCAGTTTCTGCAATGGCTATAATTTATAAAAATCTAGTAAGAATAGGATGTGATTATATTGGGCTTCAGTCTGAAGAATTGTTTTAGCAGGAATTTTATATGCAAGACTAAATGCTGATCAACAGAGCATAATATTATATTCTGAAGTATGCTGGCAAAGGCAAAATTTAATTTTTTTTTTTTTTTGTTCTTTTTTTCCTTCTCCTGAAATCTTCTGCCATAGCGACTACATTTGCCTCCAGACTTGTCAGACACAGTGAGCCGCTCAAGCAAACAGGATCTGGCAGAATCCGCCAAGCTGCTGGGCCCAGGCTGTGGCATGATGGCCGGAGGCAAGAAGCACCTGGACTTCTAGGGATTCCTCCTTAGTCATTGCATGCAGAATTATGTGACACTCTAATTATGATTGCTAATAGCTTATGTAAATATTTTTCTTAATGATTTGACCCTCCAGTCCTTAAAAAACACAGTGAAGATTTCAAAAGGGGGCCACCATTCTCCTTTTTTTAACCAACTATTTGTACAGACATAATACAATAGAAATACTTCTATTTTGGAATTTTGTTTTTGCTATGTTCAGAGAAAATAGATCATTTATTTTTAATAAATGGGGGGAAGGTCAAAAAAATCAAAATACAGTGGTCATTAGGGTACTTGTGCTAAGGCACTTAGAATCATGGGAAAGCACATGTTATAGCAGGCAGCATGTGAAACATGAAATTCAAGTTATATTCAAAAACATTTTGTCTTTACTTCTGAAAAAGTCACTTGCCCCAAAAAATGCTAAGGTTTTTTTTTTTTTTTTTGGTAAGAAAATTTTGTTTGCAAATCTATGAAATAAATTCACATTTATATATCCTATTATTAAAATGATGAAGACAAAATAATATTTGGGGATTCAGACTCTGTTTAAGATACTTAGTGTGCCATAGTAGTTAATAAATATAAAGAACTTGAATGATAGAAAGAATAGATGGTCTTCTGTTTAATAATCCTAAACAATTGAAATCAGCACTATGAAATGGTGTCAACAGACATAATTCAGGATTGAAATTCAAACTGACAGCTATGGTAATGCTAGGACAGTGGGGGAAACATGTATTGAAGCTTGGTGAGAGATTTTTGCAGTCTAGGTCTGAGACAAAGGGGAAAATGAGATGAAGATTTCCATTGCATCACGTCAACCCTTTGTTAATTATGAACATTGGGTGAATATGTAAATTTTTAACTATAAAAACATGTCTTTTGGGGAATATAGCACTTTGCACCAGTTTTCACATAAAACACAAGGTTTTTTTGAATCATAGTTGCATATTCTCAAAGCTAAATATCATAGATTAAAAGTTAAAATGTAACTTACATATTTAAGTAAAGCATCTCAATTTTTAAAAAGACATTTAACATTCCATTAGGAGAGACTGGATTTCCAAAATACATTTTCAATTATATTAGAATATTTTGAAGCAGTTATAACTAGCATTTTCAAACAGTTTGCTTTTAATATACTGCAAATTATACTTTATTTGCTCTTGACAACATTGTAGAAAACAAAGACTAGGTTTTTAAAACTGTCTAACCAATATGATGAATGTCAGTCACTTAAAAAAAAAACCACTGTAGCATAAACACATACTGTATACAGCTTTTATTCAGAATTAGAATAATTGAATCAATGACAGTGATTTGCCAGGATGTCAAATCTCTCCATCATATCCTGTCACTACCAGTTTATTTTTTGTGATCAAAATCAAAAAGACAACTATTTTGTCACCTGCTATTTCATTAGTACTAAAAAATTGGGTTTATTCTTCTATTTTTTTTAGAATGTCTGGTTTATTTTTTTTTATCTCTTTTAATTCTAAAGACACAAATTCTTCCCCATTTTCTTTTCAAAATAAAGTTTCAGAATTGATCTGTCAGTTAAAATTAAAGGGCTTTTATATTAAGCAAGGGTGCTTTTAAGATTTAAAGCAACTTCAAAAAATCAATTTAGTCCATAGATAATAAATAATGTTATGCAGATATTCCACAAAAGCTTTGCTGTGTCCTTTGAATGCATCATGAACAAAGTGAATAAATTCAAATGAATATTTTAGTCAGTTATTATTTTAATAACGCTAACCTTTTTCTTACTGTGTTGTGATTCATTTTGCACAAACACACAACAGAACAATTACATAGCATTTGACTCTGAAAAGGAAATATGAGGTCATCAGATATGTAAATCACTTGTCAAAATACTTAATAGGTCATTGATTTACCTCCCTGGTTACCATATCTAAAAAATTAATAGCCAATTACTAGTTAATATATGCTTTGCAAATAGGTATATAAGAATTAAATGTGCGTATTTGAACCCTTATTTTTAATATACAAGAAACTTTTCAAACTCAATAAAAGTCTATTTTGAATAATAAGAATACATGGGCTTTCCAAAAAATCAGGTCCAAGAGCTTTGATTTTCTGATTCACTGGAAAGGCTTTTAAAAATAAGCCACTAGAGAGAGATGTTTTTGTTTTTCTATGATAAAAGCCCACTCTAAAAATGTGTTTTCCTTCTTTCCTTAAACATTACTTTTTTCTTCACTACCCCAGTAACTTACTACATAAAAATATTGGTCTTGAAAAATTTGAATACCTTATAAAATAGATACTCTTAGGGATGTTTTTCAAATATGAACTTGACTCAAAGACATAAATACATAAAAATAATGCCAAATGTGGTATCTGAAATGTCCTTGAATCTTTTAAATGTTTCCAGTATATGAACTTCAAAACCCTGTATGGTGTTCATTTCTTACGCTAGATCTGCCTTTCTTTAACATGAGGTAAATATTTTGACTACTGCAGTCTGCTCAGGTACTGGGGTTCTAAGACCTTCTGAATTCTTTTTAGTAGCCACCAAACAATCCACTTTTCTCTTCTTCTCTTCCATTTATTCTTTATCTCCATCTCCAGGATCTTCAAATACTAACATTAAGCCAAATAAAAATACTTACAAAGGAAGGGTCTCTGCAATCAATTCCTTCTGTATCTTTTAATTTCAACAAATGAGACACATACATACACAAACAAAAAGGGAATGGGGAAACCCCATTTACTTGTTTCAGCCCACTATTATTGTCATTTCTGAGACATCGTGTTAGTGTTTTGCAAAGATTGTTACCATCAGTAGCATCGAAATTAAGTGATACTAACTCTAAGTAACTTTGAACTTTAAAACGGAGCAGTTTAGTCACCCAGGACCAAAGCAAAAAAAAAAAAAAAAGATGAGAATAATATATATTTTGGGCTTGGTTAACCAAACATACAAAAAATGGGGGGAGGGGGCTTTTCTTTTAAGGCCCAGAGCATAAAGAAATGAGCAGGAGCATATCAACACCATCCTAAGATGACATTGACATTCACAGAACAAAGCTGAATCTTAAAATGATACAGAGAAGATAATCTTAGGAAACCTAGTTATGATAAAAAGTAGGAAGAAATGTTATGTGAGCCATATCAAAAAGCTAGCAGCTTATTAATTAAGAGTTAAGAGGCACAACTTTGGGAGGAAAAAATACACTTGGAAATTTATTACAGTAAAAAGCACATTTCATCTGGAGATATTCAGCTCTAATTCTGTTCACCTGGTTTCCCTAAATCAAATTTGGAGAAAATTTATGGGTGTAGATACTATTTTTACTGAGGACATCACAAATACACATTCTGGAAAATGGTATCAAGACATCCCTGCAGGTTTTCCATTGACAAATATATAAATATACATATCATTAAATAAATAAACAAAAATAAATTATTACAACAAATAAAAGGCCAACTCCCGGCACTGCAACCAGAGAGTGTCTTCAACCCTGTCCCTGAGAGCGCCTGGAGCTCCATTCAGAAGGAGAACTCATCTCCCTAGGGTGTGGGCAGAAGGCGAGGCAGCCGTTCCCATCCTGCTGGACCAGAGGGCTTCCGCAGCTGAACAGCCGCTTCTTCAGACTAAACCAGGCTGCGCCACTGTGCCCTGGCAATCCTGACCCTCAGAGGACATGTATACGTGCCCATGCACACACATACAGACCCTCGGCTCCCATCACTCCCCTTATCCCGTCCCAGCATGCCACACCCAGTTCTCCAAAGTCCATGTTCTCTACATAACAGAGCCATCGGCCAGCACCAACTGCCTGACCCTGGCCCAAATCATGGCTAGTTGGAAACAGTCCCTTCTTGCAGAGAAGATGTAAGCCAACCAACAGCTGCTGCAACACGCAATCATATAACCCTTCTCTGACAGTTCCCTTAGCACACATCCCTCAGGGAATAGAGACTGCAAAATGTCAGGAGGTAGAAATGTCTGCTCGGGCTATAGTACCAACAGTGCAGAAGTGCCAGCATGCAGTGCAGCCTGACACTGAGTAAAACTACATGCACACATACAAAAACTGCAATCAAGTTAGGAAGGTGTCTCTAAATGTGAAGCAACTCTGGAGGAATAAAGTTATTCATCTATAGCATGCCAGACAGATGAATCTTAATTATCTGTTCACAAACAATTCTTTAGCTAGAAAACAATAGATGTTGAACTAGAAGGTTATGTTTAAATCCTCCAAATAATTTCTATATTTTTGAACATTTGCCTTTGGGGATTAAAAAAAAAAGAGTGCAGTTCAGAGGAATCCTGGCTCTTTTTCCCCAGAGGTTTTTGCATGTGCGAGCATTTTAATCCAAACTACCAGAACCCCCAGTCTTTTTACTGAAGCTTGCAGAAGAAAACTTATCTATATTGATTTATATGTTGCCTAGAACAGAAAGAAATAACAGTCTCAGACAGGCCTTTTTTACCCAACAAAGGCTTATTTTTTTTCCATCCTTTGCTTGGGCTCAAGCACTCCTGCCCTGCGTGCCGCCACTTTAAACATGATCAGATCTGTGCTTCATTGCAAATAACAACTGACCAACAATGGGCCCTGCTTCATAGATTTGGGAATGTTTGGCTTAAGCTGCCAATGACTGAAGGCCTTTAACTCCCACCGGCCAGTCACAGTCCGCTTTGTTGTCGTCTGTTGATGTGTCTGTGCTCATTATTCCTTGACATGCAACATCCCCCCCTCCACCCTCCAACCATCCACTACCGCACAGAAAGCAAGATTCAAATGGGAACAGCTGTAGTGGTTCAATGGGAAATGATGCCTCTTGTGCAAAGGGGAGGGAGACAGAAAAGAGAGAGGCCCTATCTGAGAAAGGCAACAGCTTTCAGAGAGTCTTGTTTAAGAAATCTACTTTTGAATATACTTCAGTGAAATCATTGTTGAAACAGGCTGACAATAGAAATCTGCCCAGATTGAAAATGCCAGCCCTAATTCAAAACACAATTCCTAGTTGGTAGCTTCCTGCATTTTAAAGTTATTTTTAGACTTTGAAAGTTTTTGAATTAAATATCTAACTGGGAAGTATTACCATTTCATATATATGTTGTGGGTGAACATGGGCACAGATCTACACATAGTTTTAATTGGAATGTTTTTCTAACACATTTCTGATTGATGCTATCTGTGAGAATTATTTCTTCAAGGATCATCAGGATGTAAAAATAGGGTATGTATGAAAGTAACCGTTGGTATTAGAATGTTAATCTAACATGGAAACA